GGGGGGCGCATTGAGGAACCTTGCCTTGGGGCAGCAGAGAGTAAATCCGGCCCTGTGTACATTTGTTTTACATTGAGTAAAAATTATTTATTTAGAAAAAGATATCCCAAAGGAAAACATAACAAGTGATGAGTTGTTTTTTTCCCCAGTTTTATTGTTAAAAAAAACAACGTAACAAAAAACAAAAATTTCAATGCTTAACATAAACAAGCTTATAACATTTTTTTTTACATAATCCTCCCATCAATACTGATCTAACCTTGAAAAAATAAACTCAAATTAAATCTCCCCAAGCTTTTTTTTTTTCAATGTTATTTACAAAGAAAAAAACAATACAAATAAATTTCTCCCGGACATTACTCATCTTTAAAATATTTACAGTGAAAACTATTTTACACGCAAAAAAACAAACTGTGAGAAAGGTGAATTGTTTGTGAAAATGTAAACTGCTTTTTGCACTGTGACGACAAGTGATGAGTTTTAAAACATACCAGCTTACAGCAAATTAATATCTGAAATGTTCAACCTGTAAGAGTGTTTTTAGCATTCACTGAAATCTCTGGCTATGAAATATATGTAGAAGTTTGAAGACTGGCCACTAGAGGTCTCTAGAATCTCATGAATTGTACTCTACTATTAGTTCCACTATGAACTAATGCCGCCTTAAAGTGATACCGAGGGAGTCATCATCAAGCATGGCTATATAATATCATTTTGTTGCTCAGCTTACTGAGGAATTATTTAGCTTACTGAGGAATGATCTAGCTATGCTGTATAATGCTGAGCAAAGATCTGATATAGTTCAAAATAGGCTAGGACATATTTATAAAGCAATTAATGATAAGCTGGCAATCAAATTACTTTTGGCTTATTTACAGGTGAAACTCGAATAATTAGAATATCGTGCAAAGTTCATTTATTTCACTAATGCAACTTAAAATGTGAAACTAATATATGAGATAGACTCATTACATGCAAAGCAACATAATTCAAGCCGTTATGTCATAATTGTGATGATTAGTGCTTACAGCTCATGAAAACCCCAAGAACCCCAAATCCACAACCTCAAAAAAGTAGATTATTACATGCAATCAATAAAACAAGGATTGTACATAGAACAATATCGGACCTCTGAAAAGTACAAGCATGCATATGTACTCAGTACTTGGTTTGGGCCCCATTTGCAGAAATTACTGCAATTACTTTTGCACGATATTCTAATTATTCGAGTTTCACCTGTATATAATTATTAAATGCATTCACCCCCCTCATGCACCAGAGCAAGCAAGTGAATGCATTAAATGCATTCACTCATGCACCAGAGCAAGCAAATTCTATTCACTGCAATTGTAAGCCAAGATATCAGTAACAAATTAAAAATATAGCTGTGCTAGCCCAAAACTGTTTTAGACAGTTACTGCTTGTAGATGGCAATCTGTTGAAATTATCATTGATTCTTTGTTGATTCGTATCGAGGACTCACTCATTACTTCACACATTACCTGTACACTGGTTGACCTGCAGATTCCTGATTTGTAGTCACGGACATTCACCTAATTCAACCACAGCTGCAGTGATTACAGTTGAACAGCGCATATACGTTGCCAATGCAGCCAGACCTAGGCCCTTTGAATGTACCTAAATTCAATGGCTTTTTAAAATATGCTCATATGTTTGGCATTATTTATTAAAGTGCTTGAAAAAAACCAAAGGAAACTCCCTTACATATTCCCAGTGCTGGCTAGGAAGGAAAACTGACTGTATGCTACAGGCTACAAAGTTATTTTGTAGATATTAGGATGAAGGGAAACCAATTATTCTTTAACCCCTTAGT